ATGAAAAATACACAACACAATATATATACATATAAATGAGGAAAAAAAAATAAGTCAATCTGGAATTGTAATATTGTATATGTCTTAAATCTAAATAAATAATAATAATACTAATATCACTTTTTGATATAAATAGTTAAGCAGTAGAACCAATTACATTATATAAAACTGTAGTTAATTTTCGGTTGTTTTTAAAGTAATTAACATTTTAAATAAAATTTGCTACAGTTGATTGGTAAATTGTTCTTGTAATAAAATTATTTTTTACTTTTTAGTTCACATTTTACTATTTTTTAGAAAAGCACGTTTTTAAAAACAAAGTTTTATATATTTTATTTTTTACTTTTTAGTCCTATTAAAGGTACGTAATAATTGGTGGATAGATTACTAAATTCATTTTAGAAGATTTGAAAAAAACATGAAATTTTAGTAAAATGACCCCCACATATGACCCTGTGTAGGGCGACCTGGATGCCCGAGTCCCAATATGATAACATTATATTATAGTGTCATCCTAGATGAGTGTCTGTGCCAAGTTTCAGCCTTCTACGACATCGGAAAGTGGGTTAAATTAATTTTGCAAGATTTGAAAAATATCTGTACGTGTTAGCGAGTTAAAGAAAAGCATGTAAAAACTACTCAAATATAGCTTAAAAATTTAAACAGGTAATTGTTTTCAATATACCACAAACAGTAAACTGTAATACGGCATACTTACTTTGTATTTAAGCTAGATTACATGTATGAAACTTAAAGTTCATTAGAAACATATAACTTAGGGTAATTTAGTTGAAGGGTTCCGATAATAGCATTTCATAGAGGATTAAAAGTCAACTAATTTGAACAATTTGGTCATCTTGTACTGCTGAATTAGTAATTACAAAATGGCTTTGTGAATTTTAAAATCGGTAATTTGGCTTTTTCTTTAAACCCAGGTTACGGTTTCTGAAATTCAAATTTTGAAATCCGGATTTATCATTAAACCCGGATTCTTCGTAAAATCCGGATTTTTTTCATTGAACTTCGAAAACCGAAAACCGGACTTTACGGATTTTAAGAAAATCCGGATTTATTTCCCATCACTAACAGGTATGGCATATTATTGTTTTAGGCATATCACATTTTGCTACTTTGTATACTACCTACTTTAAATCAAATTAGAATAATTATTCCACCAAATTTGGCAGAACGGGACACACACGACTTACTTTTACCATCTTACTACAGGTATGGCATATTATTGTTTTAACAAAATAGACTACGTTTTGGGCTATGGTATTTTTAAAATATATACAAAACAGACGTGCTAAATGTTGAAAAAAACAAAATCAATATGAACAAATTTCATATCGCATACCTGTCGCTTAGATATAGGTTGCCTATGTCGCTGACCATGTAGTGAGTGTGGTCAATTTGCTCTTTTTTGTTTGCTTTGGGAGACGAAGGCGGGGTATCATCATCGATTTTAGAACATGCTAAATAAAACAGGTTATATTCAGATCGAGTTTGATGATTTATTTTTCAATTAGCATCCACCTAACCGATTTTACATTATTTAACCTTTTGTTTATATAATATTTTAAATAATATAATTATGATAGTTTTTCGCGCGTAACAGAATGGTTATTATGAATAATTTTAAGAGTAAGTCATCAGAGTTCAGTCTAAAATATTATAATTTTACCTTGAAAATAAATAAAATTCTAAAATTAACCTCTACCTTAGGGTAATTTAACTTTGTATTTTTACTTGAATATTTTAGAACCGTTGATTTAATTTTAAAAATATTTTAGATATACAATATATAATTAGTTTAATTCCGTTAATTATACCGTTCCAATATGCTTGTTTTTTTTTTCAAAACTTATATGTCTGTCTATAATTACTATTGTGCAAACATCGAAACACCTTAGTTAGCGATAAATCTCATAATTATGAACAAGACGTATCGCTCAGTGGTTGCTGCGATTAATTTATAAAGAAACAAAATTATTTATGTGTTAATAAAATATATTATTTATTACCTGGAGTTGACCATAAAATAATATAGGCTAAAAAAAAAATCAGCATAGTGTTGTATACGTATATGATATCAATTGTAGACCACTGTATAGTAATGTTTGTTAAAAGATACCTATCGACAATTAAATATAAGTATGTAGTTTTATTACAATAGCGCAAAAACGTTTTGTATACTTAACAGTATACAATAATAACATGTTTATACGCCTTTACAAAAATCCGTACAACCAATGTAAACACAATGATTCTTTTAAAACATATGTTAACAAGTGTAGAACAAAATTATTGTAAGCTTTTGTTATAAAACTACATATTTGAATTTCAATATCTGCTAACAAGGTTTTCTTTATAGTGTTTTAAAAAAGATTCAACATTTTAAATTATATTTATACATAGTTTAACACGATGATTAATTATTTTTTAGCCATTTTCATATTATGGCCAACTCCAGGTAAACCACATATTTTACTAATACATAAGTAATTGTTTTTTTCTTTAAACTTAATTGCAGCAATCATAAAGCGTTATCTTCTGTACATAATTATAGAACATATCGCTATCTCAGGTATTTTATTTGCTCACAAGTTGCAACAAATAGAATAATAATTTTGGAATTCCATTTAAGCAATGTTTTTATTGACCTGATATAATGATAAAATTTTTTGCACGCTTAGTTAAGACTGTCCATTATTTCATAAATTATTGTTTAGAAATTCTAAGCGATAAAATATGTACATAATTATGGAGCTTATCGCTAACGAAATTATTTTTTGAGGTGGTCCATAATAACAATAGATTGACTAATAAGATTTGAATAAACAAGTATATTGAGAGTCATATAATAATATAATATATTGAATGATGTAACGCTGATATTTTGTCTACGCAAAATTGTCCACACAAATTCTTGTTTGTAACCATCCCTATAACATATCCATGTTCAAAATATCTCAAAAATATTATAGGTAGAGTACTCATTAGCTTTTGCAACATTTTTCATGGTTTCATTTTTTCAAAAAATAATTCAATATATGTTTTATAATTTAACTTTCGGTAGTTGAAAGCGCTTTGGGAACATTAAAAACTCTGCAGACCTTTTGCGTTTAGCTTTAATATATCACTGCGTTTTTTACATTGATATATAAATATATTTGTATGTATTTTTTTAAAATAATATAATACTAATCTGCTGTGCATGGATCGTATGGAATTTAAAAATACTATATTTTTTAATTTAATTTTAAAAAGTTGACAAACCTTTGGAAAATATAAAAAACTATGCAGACTATTTTCGTTTAGCTTTAAATTATCGCTTCGTTCTTTAACAAGTATACATACAAATTATATATATATATCTTTTTCAAATACTATAATACAAAGCTGCAGCGCAAAGTTAAAAAAAAAAAAAATTATTGTATTGGTATGATCAAAAGTCTGACGTCAGAATTAAATCTGTGTTTAATTTACAACAATAACATGTTTATATAGCTTTGCAAAACACTTTGTGCCATATAAAACTCAATTATTTGTTTATAATAATATATTCAATCATATAAAGTATACAAAAAAATGGTACAATATCAAAATAAAATAAAAACATCAATCGGCTCTCAGTATAGTTTGGCTTTTTTATTTATTTTTTAGCCTTTATCAATTTAACGTTTTGACCACGTATATAGATAGATTTAGTATATATATATATATATATATATATATATATATATATATATATATATATTATTAGAAAATATATTAAATGAACAAAAGTTTAAAAAATGTAAAGTGGGGTGGGTATGTTACATGAATGAAAAAACCAAACTAACTCGTCCAAAAAATTAACAGTTTTATTAATTTTCTTTAGCATGTTATAATATGGAGCATAATTTTGATCCACCTTCGGTCCCCATAGCGCACAGTAACAAGCAAATCGACGACACTGACATCTTGGTCAGGGACATAAGCAAACTCCATCCAAGCGACATGTATGTGAAATTCAGTTTGTTCCTATTAACTGTAATATTTTTATAATCTAGCACATTTATCTTGTATACAGTTTTTTGATACCATACCAAAAATAATTTCAACTTTGTTAAAATGATAAAATGTTATACTTGTAAAAGTAAGCTTTTAGTGTGTCCTGTTTTTCTAGTTTTAGTCTATTAATTCCAATTTGATTTAAAGTAGGTAGTACACAAAGTGTAACTATTAATGCTAATAAGAAAACTAATATTGAACAATATAATTGATTGACCTGTCGAAATAAATAGGTTTAACATATCTCTCATCTCGCCTTCGGTCTCCAAACCACATAGTAACAAGAAAATCGGCGACACTCGCAACTTAGTCGATTATATAAGAAATCTCTATCTAAGTGACAGGTATGTGGTTTTGAGTTTGTGCCTTAAATATATTATTTTCATAATTTAGCACGTTTATCTTGTATACAATTTATTGATACTATACCAAAAATGTATTCTACTCTGTTAAAATTATAATGTGTTCTACTTGTAGAAGAAAGCTGTAAGTGTGTTCTTTTTTAGTCTAATAATTGTATAAAGTAGGTAGTGCACAAAGTGTAACTATTAATGCTTATAAGATAGCTATTATTGAAAAATATAATTGATTGACCTGACAAAGTAAATAGGTTTAATTTTTCTCCCATCTCATTTCTTTATCTCCTTCTAACCCTAAATTATTCTTTGCTTATATAATTTTCTATTTTAAACTAGTGACTTGTTTCAGATTTTCAGATGTTATTTTGGTTGTAGATGGAGAACGATTGCCCGCTCATCGAAGTGTTTTAGCCTCACGCTGTGAATATTTTAGGTATTCAATTCTTATCATTAGGCATATTTCCTTAGACTATAAATCATGGGCGTGTAAAAACTAGTTGTTTTATTATTAATGTTTTTTTTCTTGTTGCTTACACCTGACAGTTAAGCATAAACTGAATATTTATTAACCTACCTATACTTTCTGGTTCATTATGACCTAATATGGGAACCGTTTTTTTTTTAAATACTTCCACTTATTTTAATGATGCAGCTGTCTTAATAATTATGAAACTAAAGGGAACATGCCGATAAACGTTTTTAAAATTATGAAAAAAAAAAATGTTTTATGTGTTTAAACTCTCCAATAACAATTGCTTTTATCATATCAAAAATAGTATAATTAATATCAAGTAGATCATAATAATTATCATGCTCGCTCCTGAAAAGGGTATCGTTTTTATCGTTTTACTCCATAATTTGATGTTAGAAGTGATAATGTGTATTTTTTTAGGGCATCTTTTAGTGGAAAATTTAAAAAAACCAATGATGTGGAGGTGACAATAACTGACGCACCATTAACGTTGTTTAAAATCCTTCTCGAATATATTTATACTGGTCGAATAAATTTAAGTGGTATTGAGGTAACAAATAATCGTAGTACCTTAATGGTTATTAAATGGCACAAATCTAATATTCATTAGTGTTATGTGACCGCTTGTCCAATAGTATGTGTACGATCTATTAATGAACAAAGAATTAACACATATTTACTTTTTATTTTTTAGGATGGAGACATTTTCGAATTAGTAAGACTTTCGGATTTTTTTGATATTTCAAACTTGAATCTTTCACTTCACAAGTGTTTGCAAAAAAATATTACTGTACAAAATGTATGTTCGTTTCTTGAGTTGGCTCGAAATTATCAATACAAGGATCTCGTAGACGAATCACTTAACCTTATAGACGAAAACGCTTTTGATGTATTGCAATCTGAAGAATTTCTGTCTTTGTCACCCGTAATGTCTTTTTTAAATAAGAAATATATATTGTCCGTGTTAGATGAAAACATAAGAAATAATTTTTATTTAGGACGATCTTCAAGAAATTTTCCATCGTGACACGTTTTATGCTGACGAATTATTTATATTCCGTGCGGCATGTCGCTGGATCAAGAAAAACCAAAACGAACTCGATCGTGGTACTAAAATTAATGTTTTATCAGCTGTCAGACATGAGTTAATGAGTGTCGAAGAACTGGTTGAGGCTAAGCAATCACAACTGGTTAGTTTGGATATAATTTCAGATGCAATTAAATTTAGAAACACTTGGTCAACACATAAGCCTCAATTTCGAGGACAGCTAAGTATGCTTGCTGTACACATCAATTTGTATTTCTCAAATTATGTTGGTTTTAATTATGTTGTATTTTAGAACCCAATAAAAATCTTAGATATAAATCTAAGAGTATTCCACATACCGATTACCATATTGAAGGTACTAATATGATAAAGTTGAGTACTCCATCAACTATAAACTATATGGAAATAACGGAATGGTATGAATATAGAATAGATCAAATAAAGTATGTTTTTAAATTATAAATATTTTTTATTGAAATAGCCGTCACTTAATAAAAACTGTGTTTAAATAATAAATCTAAACATTTTAAACTTTATTTCATGAATTATTCGCTTTTTTTAAAAACGTTTATTTGTCAAGATATTATTTTAATTTTATTTTAAGCAATCCATTTTGACAATGAATATTATATTTGTATTGTTTATTATTAATTAGTTGTCTATAACATAGTTGTCTTTTATTATTCAAACACTTTTTTCACAAATCTTTTTCTATCGTTCAATTTTTATACTTTTTTACAAATTAGCTGTTTCTCGTATTACATTGAAGTTTCAATAGATGGGCAAAATTGGGTGCGTCTTATAGATCATTCAAATTATAATTGTCGAACATATCAATATTTGTGGTTTCATCCACGCCTAGTTCGGTATATACACATTGTTGGAACCAATAGCACTGCTAATAAGATTTTTATATTTTGGCAAGTCATGTACAATACAGAAGATATGCATAATGTGGAAGTAAAAAATGGATTAGTCGGTAAGAAAGCGAATGAAGTAACTCATATTTTAATTAAATAAAAATGATAAAACATTTTCATTTATATTTGGTTAATTTACTAATTTTAATCAAGTTCCTAAGTTCGGTTATGATGTCAGTTCAGAAGATTTGAGAGCTTTTGTAATCAAAGGTAGAAATAACTCTAATGATGGTTCGCTAGTAGAGAGTTACGAAGAAAGCAACGCTAGAAAGGACAGATACACGTATCATGTGCTGGGATCGGGTGGTATAGTGGTTCAACTCGCACAACCATATATACTTAGTTCAATGAGGTAACAGTATAAATATCTTGCAATTTTTATACCAATCTCTTCACTATGCTGATCAGACACACATAAGCCTTCTTTGGACAATCTCTATTTTTAATGCTAGTCGTCGGAATGAATTTTTTAATTCATACACGAACTATAAATAATTTCTCCAAAAATGTTCACTCAAACTGTGAAGTATCGTTTCTTATTTCCTTCTCAGAGCCCAAGTCTCCAACCCGTAAAAACAGTCTTTTAACTTTACTTTTTTTCTTGATAAACGTATAAATGTAAGTATTATTTTTTTTTTAATACAAATTGATCTGTAGTTCATTAAAACAATTGGCAATATAAATAAATAATTTTTACAAAAACAAAATTAAAAAATAATACCGATCTGTAAAACAATTATGATAGTTTTAGTATCTTTGATAATAAAACTATAAATACGATTTTATTGTTAGCAGCATTTTTAGGCTTAAATCAATCAAATATTACACTATTAATAAGTTCCAGTAAAAAAAATAAACAAATAATATTACATTGTTTCATTCGTTTTTTAAAATATTTTTTTAATTTTTTTTTTAATTGATTTATCATTTTGTTATGATTTCTTTCGCCACCTAGTAAAATAAAGTGTTTTTTATAACTTTTATTCATAATTAAACTAAGACATTATGATGATTGCCATAACTGACAGGTTGCTGCTTTGGGATGATGATGCCTGCAGTTATACTGTTGATGCTTCAGTCGATAATAAGGATTGGGAGAGAATTGTAAATAAATCTGATGAGGTGACGCAATCTTGGCAGGTATTGAAATTTACACCCAGGCCGATACTCTACATTCGTATTATTGGCGTTAAATGTGCAGCAGGCAATGTGAGTACAATTGATTTATGTGTTTTCTTAAACTTTTAATAACACTTATATGTTGTAGGTTTTTCGTGTTATATATTTGGAAGTTCCCGCTCAAGTAACATTAGATTCCAACGTCGTTGGACGTTTGCTATGAATTAAAAATATTATTATCAAATTACTTTTTTCTCTTATACGTATTTGTTTTTGTTTTATTTAGTTAATGTAATTAAATTTAAGAATTATCACATTGAGTAAAGTTAAATGAAATTGTATACAATAAATGTAATAATTATGGGATAATTTAATAAGCCAACTGTTTTATTATTGTTTTGTCCTTACTTGCCTTGTAAAATGTTTGGAATTTTTGAATATTTATTACTCGATATTAAGTGGTTTAAACAACTATATTGTCCAAATTTGTTGGACCATTTGTGCCTATGATAGTAAATTGACAAATCTGTGGAGACTGGCTGGCTTGCTTGTTTTGCACTATATGTGTCCTGTACTTTTGATACTTAATATATTGTACTTAATATAATACGTTTACATCTATAGATGAACAATTGGAGTAATATTTAAATAAAAATAATTATTATTGAAAATAAAGAAATATAATCAAATAACAAACATTTTTATCCCAATTCCCAACTCTAACTCCAACTCCATCCCCATCCCTAATCTCTTATGTCTAATCTCAATATTTAGTACCTGACCCCCAGCCATATACCACATACAAGCCAAATGAAATACATTTCTTATTAAATCCTATGGGATATCCAGTTGATCAAGATAAAATTATCCCTCTGTATTTATATGTCTAGCTAGAAAACATGTAATAATAACTTTTTCCATTATTATTAATTACTAGATAAACTCAGAACAATGAATATGTAACAAAAAAATATATATCTTTTTACTTATTACCAATTGTTTATATATATTATGTAATTACTATCATTAGAAAATAAATAAAAATAAAAAAACTGTAATTTTTTTTTTTTTTTTTAAATTGTATTTCAAAATAATAAAAATGAATGAAATAAACGTAAAGAAAGCCTCAAATGTAAATTTAATGATTATAAAAGATTTAACATATTTAAGCCGAGGAGATCGTCATGTTGTTACAGGATACAGAATAATATGTGGCAATAATATGTAAAATACAAGTGATAAACTGTAAGCGGCGCTCACTTTATCGGTACAGTCAATTTTGTTCACTGATAACTCCGGAGGCAATAGAGTTAGGGGCTTTTTTTTTTTTATAATTATTTGTAAACTTGTTATTTGAAGGTAATAATAGAATCAAGCCAATTAACAAACATTTATAAGACTGGCATTCAAAACTCTACATTTATTGTATACAGTATCACATAATTTACACAATGAAACAATTGAAAAATTAAATTACATTAATCAAACACAACAAAAACTAAAATGTATAAAATAGATTAAAGTCATTTGATAATAATATTTTTAATTCATAGCAAGCGAGTGACTAACTCAAATATGCTTATATTTCAAATTTGGTTACTGGAGCTTTAATCGTTTGGTTGGCCTCCTGAAAACAAAAATGTTCGTTCAATTTTAGACATATCAATGATAAAAACAAAGAACATTATAGTAAACTAACAAAAGCAGTTGTCAAATTTGACAAGACTAACCTGTCACTTATTATCGCACGATCGTCTTCAACATCGTTGGAATATAAAGTTACTTGAGCGGGAGGATCCCCAATATATTATTGTTTTAACAGAATAGATTACGTTTTGGGCTATGGTATTTTTAAAATATATACAAAACAGACGTGCTAAATGTTGAAAATAACAAAGTCAATGTGTACAAATTTCATATCACATACCTGTCGCTTAGATATAGGTTGCCTATGTCGCTGACCATGTAGTGAGTGTGGTCAATTTGCTCTTTTTTGTTTGCTTTGGCAGACGAAGGCGGGGTATCATCATCGATTTTAGAACATGCTAAATAAAATTAATAAAACAGGTTATATTCAGATCGAGTTTGATGGTTTATTTTTCAAGTAGCATCCACCTACCCGATTTTACATTATTTAATCTTTTGTTTAAATAATATTTTAAATAATATAATTATGATAGTTTTTCACGCGTAACAGAATGGTTATGATGAATGGTTACTATGAATAATTTTAAAAGCAAGTCATCAGAGTTTACTCTAAAATAATATAATTTTACCTTAAAAACAATTAAAAATTTAAAATTAACCTCTACCCAAGGGTAATTTAATTTTGTATTTTTACTAGAATATTTTAGAATCGTTGATATCATTTTAAAAATATCTTAGTTATACAATATTTAATTAGTTTAGGGCCATTAATTATATATCTAAAACATTTTAGTTAATATTATATTAAATTAAGTATTAAAAAATATTCAATTTTTTTTCAAGTAAATTTAATTTTAATTTTTACAAACGTCAAAATTCCATTTAAAGTATTTTGATATTTACTAATTAATCGATTCTCTTGTAAAAGTTTTGATCACACGTATGAATGTTATGATCTATTTATCCATTTTTATTTTATAGGTCGAGTCTCTCGTATAACATAAAAAATTGGTTGACTAAAAACTAACACTATATCAATAATAAAATAGGAAAACAAAAGGATTATAGTGCGAATAGAACCTTCTAATAAAGAAAGGATACTATAACTAACTTATCAAACCAACCTAAAGCAAAAATATGATAAGTGACAGCCGTGCAGTTTAAAATACATTATGTATTTGAAGTAGACTTAAAAAAGATAAAGGCTAAAAATAAATAAAGAAGTCAAATGATACTGAAAGCTTATTTTTTATTATTTTAATACTGCATTTTCTTTTTTTATACGCCTAAGGATATACAAGGTGATCCACTTATCGCGAAACACTCAATATATCATAGGGTTAAATAGGAAATTAAAATTAATTTTTTTCATATTTTTTTATATAATGTGATCTTAATTTTTCACAATTATTTTTGTTTTAACCCCCTTCCCAACTAAGTTGTTTTGATATCAACTTTTGAAACTTAAATGGTAACGTAAATATTTTATTATTTTTTTAAATTGAAAATAATGTATTACAAGTTTTGACTGGTCGATAACCAGTTTCGGATAACTGTTTTTGAAGTTATTGAAGTTTAGGGCGGGAGGAAAGTGGAGGGTAGTGTTATTTTTTTCTGCGCCATTTTCCCAACTACACTTCCCTCTCCTCCTAACTTTAAAACTCTTACAACTTAAAAAATAGTTATTCGAATTTGGTTATTGACCAAATTATTGAATTTAAAAAAATAATAAAATATATACGTTACCATTTAAGTTTCAAAAGTTGCTATCGACCTCTAAGTTGGGATGCGCCTACGTTATTCCCAGTCTTAGTGTATCTTTCTCCACCAACTTATTTCCATCTTCTTTCTCCTTTACCGCGGAATGTACTGCCATTCTTCACGCGCTCCTCTAGATAATTTCTTCACTAGAAAATCGCTTCCTTATCTGTCTGATTCCCAAGCGAGTCTTCTAGCTCTAACTACTAATCCTTTCAACACCTTTATTCCCCTGTAATTCTTCGATTAGATCCCTTTTACTCAAAATCCGATCTTCAGGGAAAGATGTTCACTTTCACTGTGTTCCAGGTCACGCTGGGATTAGGGGTAATGAAATTGCTGATTCCCTTGCCAAAGCTTCCTTAAATCACTCCATGTATCCTCTATTTAATCTTTTATCCCTCGATGCTTTTTCTTCCTTCAAATCCACCATAAATAAAGCTTGGCATGCCAAATGGGCTGCCCTCCCACATAATTTTGTACAATGGCATCGGTCTATTATTCCTATTTCCCCCAGCTTCCCTTGGTTTCATTTACTTGGCCTTCCCCGCAAGAGTATTGTCTCCTTTTGTAGACTAAGGATTGGTCACAATTTACTCCCGGCCCACGCCTTCAAGATGGAGCTCAATTCTGTACCTTTCTGCCACTTGCACGAAGAGGAAGCTATCGGTAACTTCTCCCATCTCCTTTTTGAGTGTCCTTCCCTTTATTCCGAAAGAATATCTTTTTTTAATTTCCTTGCCTCGTATGGCATCCTAACCCAGTTCTCATCCTTAATTCCCGTGTTGTTCCCGTAATTAACGCCACCATATCCTTCATCCTGAGCTC